GTTCTTTCTCTCTAGTCTTACATGCCTCCAAAAAAAGGAAAGTATAGTGTAGCAGGAAAGGATTAGAAGTAAGGCCAGAGAAAGGAAGTCTTCTCTGATGCTCGTGATGAGTTATAGAGACAATTTGCCCCTGAGTCACCATTCTTAGCCTGGAAAGGTAAGAATGGGGAATCGGAAGAGCTAAGATTGCTTCCTCACCAGCAGAAGATCAGACCAGAAAGGAAACTGCAGCAGAATAGACTTGACATTTTCTCCAGAGTGTAGAGGAAGATCAGAGCCAGTCTGTCTTGGTGAAATCTGTCCCTCAAGTCTTAAGAACAGCCAATGACCTGTTGTCCTTTATCTGGTGGAAGGAGTCCTGTGTTTTCTTTTATAGGCATGTATATTTTCTAAGTATGAGCTAGATTTTATTAACAAAAAGACCCATTTTATATCAAAATAGGGGATACTCTAGTATTATGTTTTCCTAGCGCTGCTAAGATAATAAACCACAGCAGTCAAAAAAATCAAACAGGTAAAACAAGGAATACTAGAAAGTTCAGCAGCTAAGTCCAAATGCAACATAACAAAATCAGAATAAATCAACCCGTTAAAGAACCATTGTAACCTTTCCATGACTTCAATTTCAATTTATACAAAGCACAACATAACATCATAAAAATTTTAATTCTAAAATTTTGATTTCCTAAACAAGTCACAGTCTGGGATCTGTGAAATGAAAGCACACTCTTACCTCTGTTTAATTATCTCAGTGGAAGACCTCCAAATGATATAGGAGACTGAAACTCCCAAACTGCTACATGTCCAAAGTACGTGCCGAATTTGTGCTCTCTAAAATGGAGGAATGAATTCTAGGAACAACAGAGGTTACGAGTAGGAAAAATTTATTAAGAGAAAGAAAACTTCTGTCTGAGAGGAACAGAAGGGGGCCCAGAAAGTGGTTTGCCCCAAATGGAAGCTATTTTTGAGCAACTGTCACACTGTTTGCCAAAGCAGCCAGACTGTCTTACATCCCTTCCAGCAATGTGTAAAGTTCTACCTTCTCCACATTCTTGTTAACTTATTTATGTCTCTTCTTTGTTTTGTTTTTGTGGTAGTGAGGATTCAAAACCCCAGGGATACCTTACCATTGAACTACATACTCAGCCCTTTTTATTGTTTTATTTTGAGACAGGGTCTTGCTGAGTGACCTAGGCAGATTTGAACTTGGCAATCCTTCTGCCTCAGTCTTCAACAGTGCTGGGATTACAGGTGTATACCACTGCACCCAGCTTGGCTTTTATTTTAGCTATCCTAGTATTTTATTATATCTGCTTTAGTGAGTGTGAAGTGGTAGTTTGTTGTGGTTTTAATTTGTAATTTCTTTATAGCTAATGATGTTGAATACCTCTCTCATGTTTATTGGCTGTTTATATATCTTCTTTGGAGAAATGCCTATACAGATACTTTGTGTGTGTGTGTGTGTGTGTCTGTGTGCGCACGCGCGCGCGCACACGCATGCATGCATGCATGTACACACTACTAGGGATTGAATCCATGGCCTTTGCACTTAGCTCCATCCCCAGTCCTTGTTTGTTTTTATTTTAATTTTAAAACAGGGTCTCACTAAGTTGTCAAGGCTTGTCTGGACTTGAACTTGTCATCTTCCTGCCTCAGCCTCCCAAAGTGCTGTGATTAAGGCCTACACCACTTCGTCTGGCTCTTTGCTCACTTTTTGAAAGCAATTTAAAATAAGCATTTGTTATGTCAAAGCTTTTGTGGATCAGTAATATGAGAATATGAGTGCAGCTCAGCTGGCTCCTGTGGCCCGGGATCTCTCACTGGGCTGTAATCAAGAGGTCAGCCTGAGGTTCAGTCTCAGCTGAATGCTTGGCTAAGGAAGCATTCTGTTCTAAATTTTGTCATGTGGTTTTTATTAGTATCATACATTTCCTAGTGAGTCTTTGAACTGAGGGCCTCAGTTTCTTAGAGACTGTTGCTGAGAATCTACTCTTAACTCTTTACCACATAGGTGTCTACATAGAGCAGTCCACAACAAGGCAGTTGGCTTCCATCTGTGAAGCAACTGAATAAAAGCAGAAAGAAAGTAGATAGCAGAGTGTTTTTTTTTAAATCACAATATGACATAGCATTGGAAATGACGTTGAGGCATTATATTCATTAGAAACGAATCACCATACCTGTGTATGTGCCCCCCCACGCACACCCCACACAATAATAATAAGAGGGTCAGAAGTAACTTTTGGAGGGGTGGCAAGGGATAGATTGTGGTGATATTTTCAAACTTATCAGTAGTATGTTAGTTATGTGTAGCTTTTGATATATGAAAATGAGTTAAAAAACAATAAATAAAATCTGAACAAGTCAAGTCTGCTCATACTCAGAGGGAAGGAATGCGTCAGGTTAAACAGCCTGCCTTTATGCACACTTTAATTGGATAGTTGACCTTTTATTATTTAGTTGTAAGAGTTCTTTATATACTAGACAGAAGCCCCTTATCAGTTGTGTGATTTGTAAGTACTTTCTTTGTGGGTTGTCTTCCTTCCTCACTCCCTTCCTTCGTTCTTTTTCTTCATGTCCATCTTTTCTAGTAGGGATTGAACCTAGTGCCTCCTCCATGCTTGGTAAGTGCTCTACCCCTGAGCTATATCTCCAACCATTTTTATTTTTAATTTTGAGACAGGGTCTTACTCAGTTGCCCAGGCAGGTCTTGAATTTACAATCCTTTTGTCTTAGCCTCAAGTAGCTAGGATTGTATGTGTATAACACCATACCTGGCCTCTTTTTATATTCTTGATGTGTAGTTAGTAGTGCAAAAGTTTTTAATGTGGTTTGATTTGAAATGGAGTCTTGCACTGTTGCCTAGCCTGGATCTTGAACTCCTGGGCTGAAGTAATTCTTGTACCTCTTCCTCTCGAGTAGCTGGGACTATGGCTCTGTGTCACTTACAGCTTACCCAAAATTTTTAATTTTGATGTAGTCCGTGTTTTTACCGTTTCTTTTGTTAAATGTGCTTTGGGCATTAAGTCTTAAGCCATCGTCAACTTCATTGTCAATGTTTACTCCTGTATTTTCTTCTGATGGTTTATAATTTTAGTTGTTAATTAGGCCTGTGATCTGCTTTAATTTTTTTGTGACTGGTGTGAGTTATAGATCTGGTTTTATTGCTTTCATGTGGCTATCCAGCTGTTTCAGAACTGCTTACTGAAAAGATTATTGTCATTCCATTGAGTTTTCTTGGTACCCATGTTGAAACACAGCCATAAATGTAAGGGAGTATTTCTGGGCTTTCAGTTGTATTCCATTTATCTGTATGACCTACACAAACACCACTATAGTTTTGTAGTAAGTTTTGAAATGAGAATTTTACTTTTTCATATTGTTTTGGCTCTTCTGAGTTTCTTGCATTCTCATAAGATTTTTATGGGAGCAGCTTCTGTGTTTCCACAAAAAAAGAAAAAGGTAGTTGAAATTCTGATAGGGATTTTCTTTAATCTGTAGATCATTCTGAGGGATAGATCTATCTACAATTACTTAGCTTTTTAATTTCTATCAGTGTTTAATATTTTTTATTCTTTTTGATTCTATTGTGACATTGTTATATTTTATTTTCAGATATTTTATTACAAGGGTACAGAAGTACAACTTTTTTTTTCCAAGACAGGATCTCATTATGTAGTGCAGGCTGGCCTTGAACTTGCTTATGTAGCCCAGGCTGGCCTCGAACCCACAGCAGTCCTCCCTGCCTCAGCCTCCCGAATGCTGGGATCACAGACATGCCCCACCACGCCTGGCTACAACTATTTTTTTTTGGTATACGGATCCTGTATCCTGCAGCTCTGCTCAGCTTATTAGCTCTAATTGTTTCTTTAGTGGATTCTTGAGGATTGTATACAAAATCATGACATCTGCAAATATAGTTATACTTTTCCTTTGGAGTGTGGGCAGTTATCTCTTGCTTAATTGTCCTAACTATAACCTTTAGTGCAGTGTTGTATAGAAATGGTCAGTACAGGCATCTCTGTTTCTCATCTTAGGAGCATAGCATTCAATATTTTTCCAGTAAGGATGATGTTAACTCCGTGTGTTTTATAGAGGCAGTTCCTTTCTGTATCTAGTTTGCTAAGAGGTTTTTGTTTGTTTGTTTTGTTTCTTAAGACAGTCTCGCTTTGTAGTGCAAGCTGACCTTGAATTCGCTACATACCCCACACTGGCCTCAAACTCACAGGGATCTTGCCTCAGCCTCCCAATGACAGGCGTGCACCCCCATGCCTAGCTTTCACGTCCTTTTTGAACCTGTGCACAGCCTTATATTTAATGAGTGATCGGCTGGGTTCCAAGGCATATGTCCCTGCCTCTATATGACACCTCATTTTCCAGCTTCTTCTTAAGTATTTTGGTCATCTTTCTGTGGGGGAGAGGGGATGTGGGAGCATAGGCAGGTCCCAGTGAGTGAGCTCTGAGGTCAGATTGAAGAAAGCACTCTAATTGGGGCTTTCACCACAACACGGGTTGGGTGGTACAAGTTACCTGGGAATAGATCTTTGAAGGCGCTCTAGCCCCATTCTGTCAGTCTTTCATAGTGGATGATTGATTTAGAATAGTGCATACAATATATTGGAAAGAAAATTTGGAAGCAGAGATCAGGCTAGGAGTTCTTACTTAAATTTGTTTGAGATGATTGCTTAGATTTTGGTTAGTGGCTATATCAAGAAAGAATTGGTAAATAGGTTGATCAAGTAGTTTTTTAAATATAAGATTTATTTCTGAGACCAAGGTTCATTGATTATTTATTGTAAAATACAGAAAAGACCACACATAGCATCCAGACTTAGAAAATTCCTGTTACAATTTTTCTAGCTGTTATACAAATTCTGAACCTGTAATTTTAGTACTTTTTGAATTTATACTTTCCTAGTGTGACATATATTTGTGTTTGAAAATTGATGTTACAGTACTTTCAATTTAGAGTTAATTGTATTCTTTTCTTTCCCTTTCAGGTGGATGCACGCAGCATACCAGTGTTAGCAAAATGGCAAAATTCATATAGCATTAAAGTTGTACTTCAAGAGCTAAGACGTCTAATGATGTCCAAAGAAAATATGAAGCTTCCACAACCACCAGAAGGACAAACATACAACAATTAGTTTTAGTGGATCTCAAACTTGTCTTAAATCAACAACCTTCTACTCATATTAATGTCTTGATTAAATATCACAAAGCAAAATACCCACACATTAAGTAAAAGAATTCCAGCTGATAAACATGACCTGGACATTTGTAAGAATATATTTAATAAATGTTCACCCATTATGTTTTCAGGTAACAAGAGGAAAAATGCAGCACAACTTTTCTTTCTCTTGTTAAGGCACTGTCATTTAACCATGAACCTGGAGTCCTCCAAATAGAATTCAGGTTTACAAGATGAAAGCATGGGAAGAATTGTCAGATGTCAGTGGAAACGTGTGTTTCTGAAAAGTAAAATCTCAAGAAGGAAAAACAGAAATGGCATGCTTATCCATCTTGCTTAGTGAAAGAGCTACAGTTTGAAATTGTTCAAAGTAGCAGGTACAATGAATATTGTCACAAATTGTGTTAATTTTTGAAGCAGTGTGGGTGCTGACTACTAGTAGTATCAAAAATATGTTCAGGATTGTTTTGATACCTGTATTTATAATAAAAAAAATGTTGGGGGGGTTGATGAATTTCTGTCAAAAGCTGTTCCTGTGTGTTACATGTAACAGACATGGTAAATATTTGTTTACAGTCTTTGTTAAATAAACCATGCATTTAAGTTTAGGTGAAATCAACAAAAGGAAATAGGTATATGGATATGTGATTTTGAGATTAGTCTTAAAATGTAAATAAAATGTAGAACGTGTCCTCAGAGACTGTGCCATTTCTATTATATTGATGTAGTATATGTACAGTACCTTGCCAAGGTAGCAAAAATTGAAATTATTGATTGTAGCTTTTCAGTGATGCGCACCCCATTTATGATTTATTCTACTTTGTATACAGTACTTGTGAATTGGAATTAGCAGAGTATTAACAAATTATATAATTAGTTTAATTTTTTTTGAGAAGGAGGAGTTGCAGATATTATATTTGAATTTGATTTTACCAGAAATATTATTACAAAGATTTTTGAATTCTAGCCATTCTTATAGAATTACAAATTTCATATAGTTCAAATATACATTCCTTTTTTTCTTAACGTATTTTTATTTTTCTGTGAAGTTCTGGTTAATGGATTGAAATAATGGAGACATTTTCTTCTCTAGTTAATGATTTTAACATTAACAAGGGTTAGTTTTATCCAAGTTCCGCTCTAACAAATAGGTAACTGAAGTCAGAGATTCATTTATGTCCTACTTTTACCAAAGTGACATGAGGCTCTAGGTCACTATTTTTACTTCAACGCACTGGGTGCACTGCCTTGTTGAAAAATGTTGTTTTCTTACGAATTTACTGAAGAATATCAAAGGTAGTCTGGTAAAATCTGCTTTCTTTTGGCCAACTTATCTTATCCTTCACCCCAGAATGTATAGGCAAACCAAAACTGTGACTGTCAAAATATCAAATGAGATCTTCTAACTTTGCTTATAAAGGAAAAATAATTGACTTTGTATTGTTTTGAGAATATTAAAGTAGTTTAGTTACTTTTGTAGTATAACAAGGACAGATTTCTCAAATAGACCCTGACATGTTTTTATCAAGCTCAAAGTTACTACCTTTTCTTAGTCAATGGTGTATTAAAGTCAGTGACAGTTTATCTAAACTAATTTCAACATGGCTAGTCTATTATCAAAAATTTCTTAGATACTTTAAAATGATACATGAAGAACATACACATACAAATTCATACATGTATAATTTATTGAAGTACATTTAAAATGACTTGTTACCTTGGAATGTAGTCTTAAATTTTTTAGTGATTAAAGGAGATTAAATTGAATTACACTGACACTGTATAACATCTAATGGTAACTGATGGTCTGGATCAGTCTAGTAATTTCTTTTCCACTTTGAAAACATGTCATACATGGAAGCTGGTAACTATTTGAATACTGTTGGCAGTCTGACGACTTAGTACCTTGAACTCATAACTGTTTTTCCTTTCCCCATCTGTATTGCTGTGAAAGTGTTTCTTCCCTCTAAGTATGTGTTGTCAGAGTCAGACCTATAATGTTTATTTCCCCTCCTTTGTTTTTGGGATTATGAATCTCACAGAAATCTGCATGCCAGTTAACCATTTTCGGAAGCACCATCCATTTTTGCATGTCACAATCAAAATGTACATGGCAATCTAAGACACACTGATTGATATGAGTTAACATAGAGCTGCTCTAAATTACAGTAACATATCTTAGACGTTTTGAAAGTTTTCCCTTTGTTTTGTAAAGTGACTGAGGTTGTAGGAGTGTGTGGTATCTTATCACCTTTCAAATGAATTGTAAAATTGCCTTAGAAATTTGTTTAAAAGGCCAAGACCTTTTAAACCTTGAGGATGATCATATATTAATAAAAATTGCAAAAATAAAATTCTTGTCATATTAGGTCAGTGTTATGCTTTAATGGTTTTAATAACTTTCAATTGATGATTAAAAATTTTTTTTTCTACCATTTTAAACAGCTTTTGGTAAGGGTTTATGTGTAACTCTCCAGGATTTTGAAACATAAACATTTAGAAGAATAGTCAGTGCTACTTAAGCCTTTCAGGTAAAAAGATAGAAGATTTATAATTTTATATTATCCTTTAAGAGAATTTATTACACTTTAAATTTAAGAAAGTGCTCTCAGCATGGAATACTTTGGCCCACTGATAGTTTATTAGTCTTGATTATTTAATACCTGTGAATTGTGTTTAATATTGTCACTATTAGTAGTAGACATGAAACTAGTATTGTGATTATTTTGAAAATGTAGGGAATAGAGCTGGAAATATTAATGCCTTTTTTTTTCCCTTTCCTTTTATTCTTTTGTGAGACAAGCTCTCACTATGCAGTTTAGGCTGGTCTTGAGCTCACTGTGTACCTCCGGGCTGCTCTTGCTTCATTCTCCTGAGTGCTGGGATCACAGGTGTGCACCACCACGCCCAGCTAATGCCTTTTTCCTAATAGCTTTGGTGTGCATGGTTTGGGATGATTTTGTTAGGTGCATCATGTAAAGACAGTTGAGCTGTAGTGTTTGGTCAAAACCATTCTGTTTCAATAAGCACATGACTGTGTTCTTACATACATTTTAAAGAATATAAGTACTAGTAAAAGTCTACATAATAAGTGTCATACATAATAGGATTTGAGAAATTATGAAATTTTACTCCCTGGGTTTTTCTTCTATAAATATACTTTTTAGGTATACATATGTACAATCATGGAATCATTTGTTGATGGGAAGGATCTAAAAGACACTGCTTATTATACTTCTCTGGTAAGTATAAATATAATTTTCCTGCACCAGCTTGACAGACTTTTGGTTATTTTCAGACAGAGTCCAACATTTTGAGGTTTTGGAAAAGTGTACATATTTATATAGAAACTAGGGAGACCGTTAAAAGGAATGAAATGTATTACAGATTTGCCCCAGTACTGAATTTACTGAAAATAGGAAATGCATAGGAAGAGTATTTTTTATGCTAAAATTAATGTGTCACATAGTAGTTCCTAAAGAGTAGATGGAAATTTTATGCTGAAAATACTGGTTGTTGGAAAAAGGTTGTGGAATTTTGAAAATATAAAAAGTATTTTCTGAAGAGAAAACTAATGGTATTTGATACAGAAAGTAAGGGACAAATCAAACCCACCATTTTGTGAAATAAAAGTTTTGAGGACTTGGAATGAGTTACATGATTTAAAAACATTGGATACAAAAGATTGTTGTGTTTATATCCTTAGTAGGATATTGTTATCTAAAAATTTTTCTCGAAGGGTCTGCTCTGTTTTATTTTTACGTGTAATCTATAAGACCAACTCAGGTTTTTTTCTGCTAGTTTATTTATGAAATAAAAACAAAAGCCAAACAGATCTCACTTTCTTAACTTGGAAAGATTCCAGGAGTCATCCTTTCTCTAGTGAATAACTAGCCAAATGCTGTGGAAGAATTAAGCAGTGATCTTTTGCTGCCAGATACAAACTTTTGTGAATTATTTTGTCCTTGCTCAGTACTTGAAACATTTAGTGGTCAAGATTATACAAAAGCAAAGTTAATATTCTACTTCCATAAGAGGGCTAGTAGTTGGCCCTAGACCAATAGTAATACATCTCTGGTAACTAAAAATAAAAATTTTCAATTGCTTGTTCAGTGTAGTAGTAGAGTAATTACAAAACTATTTAGAGATAACAAGGAATCATTTTTTTTTTTTTTTTTTGTGGTACTGGGGATTGAACCCCACAAGCTTCGCAGTGAGCTATATTATCAATCCTTTTTTATTTTAAGACAGACTCTCACTGAGTTGCCCAGGACGGGCTGGAACTGCAGATCCTCCTGCCTCAGCCTTTCACAGTGGTGTGATTACAGGTGTTCACCACCATGCCCAGCCTATGTGAAAACTGAGTTCACAAGAAAATGATTGCCTGGGTTTCTTCATCTTGACTGGTATATGGACCCTTTTATGGAAAAAAAAGGTTGGGGCTTGCTCAGTGGTAGAGCACTTAGTATATGCAAGGGCTCAGGTTTGATCGCTAACACTGAAAAAACAAATACTTGTTTGGATTCAGTATTTTGAATTATGTTTGTTAAACCACTTAATGCATAAAACCATATCCATGCAAATATTGTGTACACTTATGTACTTAGTGCTTTTAAAATTATAAAATAAATTACACTCAATTACATAGTAATTGAAATTTTTTTTTTTTGGTTTTTCTCTGGTACCGGGAACCGAACTCACGACCTTGCGCTTGCCAGGCAGGCGCTCTTGCCGCTGAGCTAAATCCCCAGCCCCTAGTAATTGAAATTTAAAATACCGAGGCTGTTACATTTCTGCTTGATGTGTAAATACTGATAATCATGTCCTTCTGGTGTGTTTAGTGTGCTGTCCCTGCTTTGTGCTGCTGGACCTCCTGGAGTTTTTCTTACTGGACTCTGTTACTTGGCCTTCCCTTGACATAAATACAGTTATGTATTAAGTCCTCTCATTTTTTTAAGTTAGAGACAATTTTTTTAGAAAACTAAATCGCTTGAGACTTGGTTCTGTTTTGAGACCACAGTTGATGACGAAGAATTACAGTAATAACTTTGTTCAGGCCATGGCCTTCTGGAGGAGTAAAAGTTCATCATTGCTGAGATAGATGACTTGATAAACTAATACCATTTGAAACGTTTAGTCTTGAACAGTTACTTGATTTCCCCAGCACAGTAGTCGGGGTGCCACATACAATGTGTAGGTTTACATAATAAACTGTGGCCAACACCGTCTTGCACCCCACATGTAGTGGCTGCTGTGCCATCATTTTTTCCTTAACCTGTAGTCTCTGCATTTCCCTTTTTTTTTTTTTTTTTTCTTTTTGACGTTACCATTTGAAGTATTTTAAGGTTCTTTAAAAGCCAGGTATAGTGATGCATACCTGTAATCCCAGCACTCAGGCTGAGGCCGGCAGGGGCAAGTTTGAGGTCAGCTTGGCAAGACCCTGTCTTGAAAAACAAAACCAAAACAGAGACTTTAAATAAAGTATTACTTACTGAAAACAGTTTAGTTAACAAGAAATACTAGATATTTATATAGTTTTAAAAGAACTAAAATCAGTGTCTACAGCTAGGTCATTTTGTTATGAAAGTTTGTTGAGCTCTGTTTACAAACATGTTAGCATACTTTATGTTAAACCTGTGGTAAGCCCTTGCACAAAGCTGCTCCTTATTTCATGCATGTCATTCTGGTGACATCACCTGGAACTCTCACCCAGAACTTTCTCCTTTCAATATCAGTGTGTGGTATTTCCAGGTAAATTTCAAGGCCAGGGCCATGCTGTATGCCTTGCCTTCTGCAGTTATACTTAGCTTGCTTTCTGGGTGGAATAGGTCAACAGTAAATGTCTATTCAGTTTTTCTTTGGTTAAAGTTAAAAGGTGGATTAAGTTGATAAAATATGCTAATAATTCCCCTCCCAGGTGATAGAAGGTTAGCTTTTAATCCTGCATCCATTGCTAACAGTTGTGTGATTTTTGTCAGTTGATTTTATTTGGTCAGTTCTGTTAATTCAACAAAAAAGCATTAGGTTTTTATAATCCACCAGGCACTGTTAGTTTTTGTTTTTGTTTTTTTCTGGTACCGGGAATCAAACTCATGACCTCGTGCTTGCCAGGCAGGTGCTGTGCCACTGAGCTAAATCCCCAGCCCTCACCAGGCACTGTTAGTTGCTAAAAATAGTAGTGGTGAGTGTCACTTATGATCATTCCTCATGGTTTACAATTTAGGGAGATTTAGGCAGATAGGCAGTTTGTATGGTGACAAGTCCCAAGAGAGACGATGTTGGTCAGGGCAGGGGGACAGTGAAGGGAAATTACCCTGTCAGAACTAAAACGTAAGATTCTTGACCAGCTATAACATGTTATGATTGGTAGCATGTCTTTAATATAAACTATACCTAAATACTGGTTTGCTCCTCATGCTGATGTTTGGTTGCTTGTAATTATTTGTTAAAGAGTTACATTGTCAGCCAGTCGTGGTCACATATACCTGTAATCTAACCTACTTGGGAAGCTCAGGCAGGAAGACTGCAAGTTTGAGGCCAACCTGGGTAACTCAGACTTTATCACAAACAAAACAAAACAAAGCCAAAAACAAAACAAGATAAACATGGGCTGGTGATACAGTTTAGTGTTCCTTAGGTTCAGTCCCTAAGTACAAACAGATAAACAAACAAACACAGAACCTCTTAGACTTTGAACAACCCATCCATTCTCTGGGAAGCTAAAGTAGACAAACATTTTTTTGATATTTTCACTGTGTTCTAAGTAGCACAGGGTACTGCTTTGATTGTTGCTGGGTCTATGGGAGGCACATAGATTAATACTTCCCTTCACATGTCATATGCAGTGTCTTTTGAATAGACAGTTCAGTGATATTGACCAGTGCTGCTTAGATTTTAATGACATTCCTGGGGTTTGTTAAAATACAGGTTTTTACTCAGAAGGTCTGCAATGGGATCTGAGGTTCCATGTTTCTGATAAGCTCCCAGTGATGTCCACTGGTTGTTAGAGCACACTTGAAAGACTAATAGTATTTTGGGGGAGGGCATGGAAGCAGATCTAGTAAATACTGGACACTAAGTAGGAAATAAAGACCATATTTTGGGTGCATGTGTTTAATTCTCGCCTTTTACAGAGGAGCTAGGGCCGTCTCACCATAGTGACCTCAGCTGTCCTGATTCTAGTTTCCAAAACTTCTCCCTCCTTTGCTTGTGGCCCCCTGTTGTAAATCCCTCTGGTGGTCTCTGTGCCGACTTTTGAGATCTGCCAACATACATAAAGCGTGTATGTTTGCTTGTGGGTAGACAGGTGGGAGCAGTAGTGGTGGGGACAGAAAGTGAGTCCATCCTAGGTAGCTAAGTTTTAACATA